GCCCATCAGTGACAGATGCCCCAATGCCCCAAACACCTATACCCACCATAAATGACAAAAGCCCAGTCAGTATGGTGGCCACGGACCAGGCTGGATTCCACGTGTCAGGATGAAAGTCTGAAATGGAGAGGCACAGTCGCGTGTTGGTCTTGAAGCGACCCGAGGGTGTGATCATGTATATGCTGGGCGGTCGAAACGGGTACTCCATCGGGAAAACCAACTTGCCGTGGTAATAGCCTCCCTCATAGGGGCTCTGCTCTGGCCCTTCCACAACATAATGCCTGCAAGTGAATGTGTAGGGTTGGTTGTGTGCTTTGCATTTTGGGCTATTTCTTTCAGTATGGGAAAGTGTGGATTGCAACTGATAAAGGTTTGATTAGCATGACCAGTAATCTTGTAAGCAGTATCTGGTTATGGGTGATAATTATAATTTCAAGTCCAAATAAGTATCAACATTGGCAAAATAGTTTAGTAATCTATGTACTATTAGATCTGTCGAAACACCATAGAAAAAATATACTTGGGAATTCAATAAATCACAGCATTTTAAATGACTCAAAATAATATTTCTCTAAAACACATTATCATGAACCACATTATTATTACACTTTATTTTTGAATGTCACTTTTACACAATCAAACACATGCACGTGCGCGTGCGCACACACACACAGACACACAAAACAGATAGATAAAAAAAACTTACCACTCCAGAATGTTTGAGGGCAGGGGGTCAGCAGTCACATATGGCACTGGGTCACGTTTTAATCGCATATAGTCGGCCCTTAGACGCGCTGATGCCGTGCCTGAGTGTTTTGACATGACTTCTTTTTTTCAATGTTGTGTCTGCAAAATTCATTATTTTTGTCAGGAATCCTTTACAACTGAGAATGCCAGATGATATACATATATGTGTTTTTTTTTTTGTTTTTTTTTATGACATGTCTCTGTGGAGCGCCTTCAATAATAATAATAATAATAATAATAATAATAATAATAATAATAATAATAATAATAATAATATAATAATAATAATAATAATTAAAAAAAAAAAAATCTTGGCTGGCAAAAGTAACAAACATAAATAATTACAACTCTACATTCCTTTCCTATCCAGAGCCACTATGGTAAAGTATCCGAATCACGAGTAACAAAACCTCCATGTTCGTAAAAAGGAAAACTCGTTGGCGTAACTGGGGAGAGAGCCATCATTTTAGACCTGATAGTTGAAATATAACAGGGAAATTATGGGGTAAACAATTAGAAGAAACAAAACACATTAATAAACTACGATGAACTCAACCAATAACATGGACCTAAACACTTATTCGCTATTTCTAAGGGAACCCACCCCTTTAACCCTTCCTTCATGGGGTATAGGATTTCAGGCCTAATGTCAATCCTACTTTTACTAAAACTTTGCTTATAATTTTACCTACATTATATCAAAAACTGTCTGTTGACTGGAGGGGAGCAATTTATCAGCTTCCACCCTGCTTACCTTATAAACAGTTTTCTGCAGAATAAATGTTATCAATCCATCAATGCTAAAATGGTTAGTGTGTTAACAATATGGACCTTCGCTGAATAACCACCAAAATCTATACTGTAAGAAGAGAATGATCACAGGAACAAATATAAAACATAACGTGAACTTTTCCTGTTCTTTTCTGTTCTTGAAACTTTCTTCCTAATAACAATATGCTCACATTCTTGGCAAATTGATGCATATCAGCTTAATAAACAACACGATACTTGAGTCCCGATCAGTAAGAACAATTCAAATAAGGTGAATAACAACAATAACACACGAGAGTTGCACCATCCATGCAATTACGGAAAATATGACGAGTTTTAAGAAGGAGGAAAAAAACTAACATTGCAGAGGGTTTTAGCTTCAACAACCCTCTTAAAACCACTATTCATGAACCCTCCTCTAACCCCATCCTAAAAAATCGACACCAAAACGTACCTAAATGCTAGAAAAGTGTCATATCGTGTGTCAGAAGGCTCTTAATCATGAGGTTGGTGTCAATCAGCTGATGGCCAACACACGGGAGTCAGCTGTTACGGTGACACTTGGCGCAGGAAATTTTGCTTTTGAGATAACATGCGGACTTTATTCGATGTCTAGCGGGTTGATTCGTATTCTGATTTTAATTCCAATTCTTTATTTAAGGGCTGTGGCTTTAATAGGGGTGTATGCGAGAGGGAGTCAATATTGCGCAAAGAGATGCTCATTTTTCTCTTTGTTTACAGTCACAACGGGTTCAGCGGGAAATTCGAAACCGATTTTATCATTATTATTATTATCATTATTATGATAATTAGTGTCATTCTTACCGTTATTGTTATTATTCTGTATTATTACTATCATCATTAATATTACTATTATTCTTATTCTGATGTTTATTACTGTAATTATTATTATTGCCGTCATTATTATTACGAATGCTCTTACTCTTATGTTTATTACTATTATTATTGCTATTATCATTTT